ACCCTTGAGTAGCTTGTTTGCAGAGAGAGGAGGAGCAGCGGATTCAGCAAGCAGCTTAGTGTCAGCATCATCTTCGCCAGCATGCGCAAAAGAATCCATGGCATGTGGGCCCCGGCTTATGTACAAGCTCTGCTATTAGAGCCGGTCTGAGCCGTGGTGCTTTGAGAGAGAGAGAGAGAGAGAGAGAGAGAGAGAGAGAGCGAGCCAGAGAAATCCGTAGCCATTTTGGCTCAAGTCGTCTGCCGCTTCTCCCTCTCCCCGGGGGGGGGCTCAGCAACAGCCCATTGGGCTTGGGGAGGGTTTCTCCCCAGGCGCGTGCTTGAGCGGAGGCGGCTTGAGACCAAACGTCGAAGCTGTTTGGCTGCAGTTGCCATGGCGGGACCACCCGAAGAGGGACGCTGACTCGAACCACGAAGAACACGAGCCTGGGACAAGACCAGCCACGAGCGCTGCTACACGACCGACCCCGACGTTGGCTACCTCGGCACCCCGAGCCCGCCAAGAACCTCCACCGAGGACCCGGGGCAAGGCCTACACTACTTCAACGCCAGCACGGTGGCACCCGAGAACGCGAGAAGAACCGCAAGCACGGGATCCACACCAGGACCCGTGCAGCAGCACCAAGTCGGGGAGGCTCACCACACCTCGAGCTGCATGAACGGCAACTTAGACTTACCAGAGCAAATTGATTACACGTCCGACATCGACCCCTACGACGCCGGCAGCTGCAAGGGAAGCCGCAGGCTTGAGCACCACACCAGGGCCCGCGCCACACACCAGGACAGAGGAGAGCCAGTACGTCCGGACCTACGTGAACGGCAACCCGGCACCCGAGAAGCCCTACCAGAGCGAGCCCAAGACAAGCCCGCCGACGAGCACTACTACACGCCCGACCTCGACCTCTACGCCGGGGAGCACGGGAGGAGCCACGAGAGCACAGACGAGAAGGATGACGACAAGGAACAACACCCAGGCCCAGGTTCTTTTACTACAGCATACTACAGTCACGCGCGAAATGCCGAGTGCCTGCATCTGAAAGTTGTTTTGGTTTCAATTTCTGAGCATGGGGATACAGGCTTCCATCCTTTCCTTTCTTTGGGTTTTTCCCTTTGACTCCGTTCAGTCAATTCAGTCCTTGGGAACGTAAAAAGAAACGTTCCTGCCACTCCGCCGTTGCCCGAAGCATAGAAAGACGCCTAAGGCAGAACTCTTTAACACACGGGGACGTAAAGAGACGAACCCGTCCACTCCGCCGTGCCTGAAGCGTAGAGAGACGCCTACGGCACACAACTTGTTGATATCTTATCCTGTCGGGGCTCAGACCGACACCTTCGGCAGGGGGTTCAGTGGCATCGGATTGGAAAACTTGTTGCGATGAGGGTGCTGTTTGTCTCGGGGAATTTTCCCCAATCTGAACGCGCCTCGACCCTCCTGCCTCCTTTTCTCCGACTCTTTGTAACAGTGTCCTGTGTATCAGCTGGTTTTCCGTACTGGCTTGCAGCACCGACACGCTGAAACAGCGGGGACCCCATCCTTGACCTCAAAAGTAGCAAAACAGGACGTGAGCTCTGCGGCGAAAGGGATCCAGAATGTCTTCAGTTATTGTGTTTGATTACCCCGAACTCCTTGCTTCCTGACCCTGCGAAAGACCCCCTTTGTCGCACACAGCCGCTTTCAATAGTCAAAGGGACCTCAACCTCAGAAGCTCCGTTGTCAAAGGTACCAGCAACTTATGACGAGCACCTGTCCATATGTCCTAGTAGATCTCTAGCGGCTCTAGCGCCCTTGTTGATTCTGCTTAAGCTGGTGCCGCGCCTGCCGCGGCGAGGACAGGAGCAGTACAGTACAGTCGGTAAACACCAACAGCCTAGCAGCCGGGAACTTTGATCACTAAGGAACACTAAGGATTCTGCAAGACGAGGCTGCGAGGGGTTGGGTTTACACCTAGTTTCACACCGACTCAACCGGACTTAGACCAAGCAAGGCGTAGCAGTCCGGTGCAGGGGGGTTGGGGCTGCGTGCCCCAGTCTCCCAAACACCCGGCAAGCAAGCAAGCGAGCAAGCAAACAGAGAAATGAGCTGCTCTCTACGTGCATACTGCTTGTGAGTGGTTGGGTCGGCCATGCGACAGTTCGGGGGACAAGGCTTGGGCGTTGAAGGCATGTAGTTAGAAGGCAATGCAGTTGCGCAAGGTTCGGTTTGGTGGGGGATGCAGGCGGGGATAGGCGTTGAGGTCGGGTTTAACACCGAAGTTTTCACGACGACCACAGTTCGGGGGGGCCTCCATGCGGGCTCGCCCTAGGCCGTGGGAAAGAAAGAGAGAGAAGTCTTTTTGATGCGTTTCGTGCTCAAAAGGCAGACCTTCGTGCTGGCAGATTTTGTTCGTTCTGCATGGACAGATTGGAAGCCTTTGCCCGGACAACCCTGGACATGACAACAGTGACTACATGATCTGATTGGAACCACCGAGGTTGCCGCACAGCGGACCAGACTCGAGCATGAGAGTGGGTGAGTCTCAAGCACATTTGAGGCGGATTGCCGTGCGACTTTGGCTCGTGTGATATGCTTGGCGATAACATGGGTCTAATTTCCATTCCTGCCCAGATCGAAGTCGTCAGCCCTCACTCTGCTGACGTCCTTCAAGAAGTATGCGACCTTGGGTGTTCGCACCTGCATGGATTTCAATGGAGAAACATCCCAAGGACGGTCATCCCTGAAGATGACTGCCAAGAAGGCCCTGGTGCCAAGTCCTCGGAAATGCTCTCTAAAGTGAGTGGTGACAGAAAGGCAGCTGATAGCACCAGGGCTGTAAGAATCACAGGCACAGATGACACATGAAAGGTTGCACCCTGGCGGGCACAGAGCACAATCACACGGATGGCTTCTGTCGAGTCATTACTGTCGCACCCTTGCCCAGGTCACGACGCTGGAGCGCTGGCTTTCGCCCTGGTGTTGCCAAAGCATTGAGGTGCTCACCGAGACTCAACCAACCCGTCCACGTGTTTGCTTTTTCTTGTTCTCATCCTGTTTGCACCTCTTCGCAGGTCGATCAGGCACCATCCACCATCGTAGCTTAAGTGCGATTGCGAGGGAATTGCCCTTGCCGTCGCTGCCGTCGTTCGCGATCGAGTGCGGCTAATTCGATTCGGCCGAGACATGTTTGTACAGAGTGGCCGCCCCGCGACCTGCAGACGTACTGGCGCATGAGGTTACAATCCGTCTCACAGCCAGCCTGCCAAAGTGGCAGGTGCAACTCAATCGTATTGTCAAACAAGCTTGATGAGGGAAGCCCAGGCTGAGCCGCAAGGCGAACAGATGCACACAGGACTTGTCCACAAATGATGTGTTGCTAGGGTTGACAGGGAAGCGGCCACGTTTCGCTGAAGCTTTCAGCATGTCGAGCATGTGTCTAGGCTTAGGCATGTCAGGTAATCACATGCGAGCACGAGGCGAGAGAGAAGCGGGCAGCGAGGCTATCAAAGCTGTGAGCTGTCTTTCCACGACATAGCTGTCTTCCACGAGCAAAAGTTTTTCGAGAGCAATGTACCTGTCACCCAGCACATGGGCGGTGACCTACTGCATCTACACAGCAGGAGCCTGTAAGAGTCCAAGCACACAGTAAAATGGAACAGGGCCAGGACGCCACGCAAGTGGCACAGTCCCCAGTCGTTGTCAGAACCTCTGGCAGATTGAGTCGCTTTTCGGGACCAAGCTTTCAGGATGCCAGGCTGAAATGATACGGTTGTTCAAGTTCCAAATCTAAGTACCTTGTTGAACTGAGCGCACTGAGCAAGGCCAAAGTGAGCTTTGACCAAGATGCATGGACACCTAGCGACCTACTCATCGAAGGGGTGTGGCTCCCAGTCATGAGTGCCTCTATGTCTGCTTGCAGCTTCGCGTTTAGAAAGTACTGCGTGTGGGTGGTTGCACCAAGGTTCAGCTGTTGACTGGTCTCTATGTGCCGTTGAGACGCCCGCAGCCCAAGAAGTCGCCGTGCAGATGGCAATGATGGCATTGACGAGCCCACTTCGCATGTCCCATCTCAGACTTCTGATGGGGCCTACTAGACTGCATCACTGCCTGAGGCCCACATCATGGCGCTGACCTCAGAGATGACTCCATGTGATGACTGCTCGAAACCTGCAGTGTGTCAGGACAGCAGGTCTTCCGAAAGGTAGGCGGAGTCAGAGCGCAGGTCGCCTGCAGCTCTCTTTCGCGGGTCTGTGAGCTGCGGAAAACGCATTGAGGCCATGGTGTACAAGGTGTACCTCTTCTACTGGAAGGAGCGAACCTGCAGTCCGCTAGGGCCCCCAGGGCATCGACAACGCAGGACGATGTTCTTGAGTCATTGAGGTCGGGATGGTGGTTCTGTGATAGCATTGGTTTGCGCCTCAGTGTCACTGACAAGTCGTGAGAGTGCGGTGAGTACAGCCGTGTCATCTCTTGCCCGACGTGGTGAGTGGTCGGATGCGGTCGGACAGGCTCAAGGTGGAACGAATGTCAGTTCTGACACAGTCAAGGTCCACACGAAGCGAGTCATCGCAATTGACAGGTAGGCTAAGTATTAAAATGCGAATGAAATCTGGCACTCATGGCAACACTGGTACTTGTAGCGCCAGCTTCGAGTGCTGCTTGCCAAGCCATTGACGCAATTCTCGGAATGTGGACCCTCGTGGCGCTTGTGTGGGTGTTTCTCACAGGTCCATGGGTTGAGGAGGTTGAGGTGGTATGTTTATGATGTTTATGCCCACCAAACCTGGACAAAGTTTGCTTTTGCTTCAGGTGCAGACGGGAAGGAGGAAGTGGCAGGCTTGCCCAAGAACGCATCATGCAGTGGAGCTGCCACTAAGGCAAACAACTGTTTCGAAATGTGCGCAGCCACGCTTCGCACGCTTCGACTTGGATTCCGCATGGTTTTACGTTTCCTGACTTTTTCGCTGGAGGCGTGTTGCCCTTACAACGGCCAAAAGGAGTGGCAGAGGAGAGGTGCTGCCCGCCGTGATTTGAGATATGTGGCCTGTAAGCCCCGGCAGGAAACGCCTGCAGAGCAGTGGCGAGCTCAGGCTATTTGGATAGGCTGCAACAGGCGAGAGGTCTGGGATGGGAATGGAATGGAGAGATGCTTTGTTCAGGCTGGCAGATCTTCGTAGGGAGCTGGCGGCGGCAGAAGCTCAGGCTGCCGAGGCCGAGGCCAAGAAAGCAGCTGCGCAGCACAGAGAAGCGCAGGCCGGCAAAGGGTGAAGAAGTCGTCGTCCCATCGTCGTCTCACCGTCGTCTCGCAAGGCCGAACATGTCCTTGATGAGACACTTCACAACGAGGCGACACTCGGCAACATTCGGCAACCGCCACCCGCCGCTAGAAGGGCTCACAGTCTTGACTATGCGGGCTGTGCATCTGGCTGCTTCCGGCAAACTCGGATTTTTGTACTTTTTCACCTCATTGGGACTCGAACCAGCCACCGATAGCTTCAGAAACGATGGGGTAGCCACTTTGCAGCATCCCGCCATGTGACCCTAGGGACCTGCTTCTCAAAAACCCGTACAAGCTAAGAACCTGATGTCTCAGATTCTTACATAATTTGGAGGTCTTTTGACGTTTGCATTTCATGCGTTGGGAATCGTTGGGACATGTTTTTGTAGAGCTTATACGAGCTAAGAATGTCAGGGCAATTGAACTGGCATAGAACATGCCAGTGTGTGACGTGTGAGATGGCCCGAGCCCACCTGTCTCATCGCATGCCTGAGGATCGGAGAAGTTTATGGCGCTTTCTTTGCTGGTCTTTTTCTGCTAGCAACGGCTGCTGGCGTCATATGGCTCAGACATGGCTACCAGGTGCAAGCCGCCCAGCAAATGAGCACGATTGTGTCTCTGAATGAGGAGCGAGTTAAAATCTTGACTCGGCTCAATCAGCAAACACAGCTGCAAAAGCCAGCTGGCGCGGCTGACAGCCTTTCCAGGCCACTCTTGCCGAAAGGGTAGCTGCAAAAGCGGCTCGCATATTTCCTATGCAAAGAGAACATGGGAAGATGCTGATGTTTTCTCTTCGATATGACTTCGCACATGATGCAAACTGCTGTAGTTGCTGGCCACTGCAATAGACTGCCCGTACGGCTCTGTGCCGGATCACGACCCCCTGCAACTTTGCTAGGTAGCAACGATGCCTATGCCTTTGCTAGAGGACGCTTCGTGCCGTGAGACTTGTCATCGCATGTACTTGGGAAGCTATAGATGTTCACCCCACATGCTGAAGTATCCGTCGCAGCTAGTCTCAGGAGACGATTCCGTTCCTCCAGAAGATGGCTGGATCGTGCGGAGCCTTGAGTGTTTTGGCGATCGTCGACATGATTTGTCATGCGCACGTGCTCCCTTGCCATTCAGGAGGAAACCAAAGCCGTTTGCAGGTTTGCTTTGGGCCCAAGCACGTGCCACGAAGTGGGAAGGTGAGAACCCATGGCTGAAGACGAGGACAGGGCTCCGGTTGAATGTTGAACCGCGTGTGGTAGGAAGGTCTTGCGTTGACTCACAGCCGCATAGCCGCACCATGACAGAGTCGGCGGCAATGCCACAGCATTCGCAGGAGCCAGTCCCAGACGGTGACGCAGATCAGGATGAGAATGAAGCGGATGCTGGCCAAGCAGATAACGATGAGGAAGACATGGACGAGGCCCCTCAGGAGCAGGAAGAAGAACCGCCAGAAGAGCAGGCAAGCCACCATAGCGATCCCCCGGATGAGCAGCAAGATGACCAGCAAGAAAATTGCGAACAAGACCAGTACGAGTTAGAGGAGGGCCCACCAGACGAGCAGATGGATGGGCCAGAGCCAGGCGAGAGACAGGAGCAAGATGATCAGCTAGATGGAGATCACGACGAACCCATGGAAGAAGTCCAGGAGGACGGGGACGCACCTCCCGCAGAGGACGATGAGGATTTAGGGGGAGGAGGCGGTGAGTCTGACAGGGGTGACGTGAAGGTTGACAACGAAGACCTGGAGACTGCAGAGCAGGATCACAACACAGCAGAAGCACCCCAGGACAAGGACGACAAAGACCAGGATCCCGGTTCCAAGGACACGAATCACCCAGGCCGCTGTGAGGTGGATCTGGAGGAATCAGAAAAAGATCCGGCAGAGGCAGAGGAGGCCGAAGTTCCGGAATGGGAAGGCAAGGACGAAAGCCAGCAGCCATACGTTGAGTGCGAGGAGGATGCACCGACGGATGACAGGAAAAGGGTTGATCCGGGCACCTTTTCTGTCAGCTCCTTTCACTCCACTTTGAATGTCATGACTCCTGATGGCAAGCTTCTAATGCCCGTCAGTGACCGTGGCTTTCAGCACTTAGTCGCATGCGCTCGATCCACAACAGGACTGAAGGATGGCAGGTATCTTTTCGAAGTGCGAATCGTGGAGCTGCGTCGGTCAGTCGAAAATGGAAAGCAGCGTGTCCCAAGGCAGTTCTGCGGAGTTGGCTTTTGTGCAGAGGGGTCGTCCCTCTTTCTGGGAGACGATGAGCGGAACATGGGTTTCGATTCGGAAGGTTGCTTATGCAAGGATGGCCGAAAGAGTTGGATGGATGGTTTGAACGATCGCATCCGGCTGGACAGGCAGCTTGTCATTGGAGTTCTCCTGAACCTAGACGCACAGAGTCCGAATGCCAACACACTTAGCCTCTTCGTCAACGGCGAACGTTTGGGAAGACCGCAGAGCCTGCCCGAGACTCTCAAGGGCAAAACGCTGTTCCCTCTCGTCAACTTCAAGAATGCCGCCTGGCTGACTCAAAAGCAGCTGCTAATCGAAAGGATTATTAAGTTGTTCAGAGGCCACATAGGCCCTACGATCTCCATTCTACCGGAGGAGGCGGCCTGAGCTTTTCAGACGCATGTGTCTTGTATCATGTCGCGCTGTAGCTGAAATCCGAGGTGACGCTTCATGCCAACTTCTCCGGGCACATGCCGTTTGCACCTTTGCCGTTCGCTTGTCGGACGCTGCAAGATGCAGCCCAGGAGGATGTTGAATCTCACAATGTGAAGGAGAGCCAGTGCCAGGCATGTCATGGCATGTCAACCATCACAAGATGTCTCAGCCAAACACAGGTAGAGCCTGCAGCCCTTAATCAGTCCGTCCTGTCACGTTTGTCGCAAGTTCAGCAGATGCCACTGCAGGTTCTCATTCCGATTGGCCTGCCCGATGAGGGGACCTTTGCCTGGCTCGATAGTTTCAAAGAGAAGGCTCAGTTTACAGAGCTTTCTGGCCGCAGTGTCAAGGAGTGGGCAATGAAGAGTGGCTTGTGGTCCCAGGGTCATGGGCGCAATTTCAACGACCAACCCTCCATGGACTTTGGCTTGAAGGAGCTGGACGGTGGCACGACCAGACAGGTTTTTCATGCTATTGCCCCACGTCTACATCGCAACTATATTGTCATGGAGGTGCAGAGGAACCTCTTGGCAGAAGATCGTCGAAAGGCACTCGCTGCTTTCAATGCCCCGCATTTCAAGCGGGTTGCCATGGTGGTCATGGGTGAGCCGCCGGAGGACTTCAAGGTAGAGGCTCGCGAGAATCTCCTGCAAGCTCGCAGAGATAAGGTCGCTGCCGACGTAAGAAAAGCCAAGCGGCCTTCAAAATGGGACAATGGGTCGCAAGCTGTGAGTTCAGCAGACCTGGAAGCGGAAGTGAAGGCCAAGGTTGACGCAGTGACGCTGACAGACTGTGAAATGCAGTCGTGGTTCCAGAAGAGGAATGATGGTGACATTCCTGAGAAAGAGCTGGCGAAGGTTTTTAGTGACTTCAGCTTGCCATCTGCAGATGAGGGTTTCCAGGAGATCCAGTTCATGTGGCAAGGTGAGAAGGAGTGCTTGGAGCACATGCAAAAGTGGATTGCCGAAAGAAAGTTGACTCAGAGGGTGGAGGATCTGAAGCCCACTGAATGGTTCAAGAAACAGACCGAGCTGTGGCAACAGTCCATGATGAAGTGGAAGCGCCGGTTTGAAGACTGGCAAGATCCACTCAAAAGGAGGCGGGGCAAAGTCCTGTTCGAGCCTGGTAGTATCGAAATTCGGCTAACTGCATATCGCAGTCAGGCGCCTCGAAGATGATGCGCGGCGCCGACGGGATGAGCAGCCTCAGGAAAAGGAGAAGCCCTTGCCAGTCGGGCGACTGGATGAGAAAGTTGTGGACTTGGATGCTCGATAGCAACTGGCACCAGAGTAGGAAGACACTTGGGACCATGACCATTCATGACATGTCCATCGCATGCATCAGGATGAGGACGAGCCCCCCAAGCCACAGAAGCCGCCGGACAGTTGCGACGATGTGGATCCGTGGAAGCTGCAGGACCTGTTGGACATCGGCACCGGGGAACCCTTGTTCTCAAAGTTCACTTGGGAAGATTGGATGATGTTGGAACTGCGGTTTCAACTGCATGTTCTTGTCCATGGGTACAAGCACTGCATGAACGATCCCGGACGGGTTGGCGCCTCATTGCCGCAAAGTGTCAAGCTGTCACACATTTTGCTTTGTTGGGATTTGAAGATTCCGAGTTGCATCAGGTCTCATTCCACGAGAGCCACACGCAGTTCTATTTTGAAACGTTCTGGGGGAAAGAGCTTTCCCTCAGAAGCTACGGAGTTGAGTCGATTGCGGAACTCCTCCGAATGGTCAGAGACACCATTGAGGTGTTGCCAAACAATTCCGTCCTAGATCCGCAGCTGTCGGACGACACGCCACTGGAAAACTTCGTCAGGCTGACGGAAGACTACCGACGCGAGCGGCTTCGCAAGCTCGATGCTGGAGACCAGACAGCAGCCCTGCGTTTGCAGAAGCCACAGGCTCATGCCCCGCGCCAGTTTCAAGCTGACGATCGCCGACAAGGCGGAAGGGGCTTCGAACGTCAGGCCCCGCAACGAGGCCATACACCACGAGCTGGTGCTCCTCCAGCTCGCGGTGACCTCAGGTGGGCTGCAGGCGGTGGCGGAGGCGGTGGCGGTGGCGGTGGAAGCCAGCGGGACCACCGGTCCACTCGAGGTGGGGAGAGCCGCAAAGATGTCCCCCGCGGCAACCGGCCCCCACCTGCTCCTCCCGTTCCCCGGTCTCATGCAAGGGATGCTGGTGGAGCCGGTCAGAAACGTGTGTACGATCAGGGGCCTGGGCGAGACGATCGTGACCGACACCGTGCATCACGGAGCCGCCATGAGCGGGATGGCCGGGACGGTAGACACCAGTATGCCCCGCATAAATCACAAAGAACCCAAAGTGCTGGTCCCAACTCGCGCGGTCCTGGCGGAGGATACGCTTCTTATGGTGGAGGGGGTGGAGGGGGCTACAGAGGTCGTCCCGGCTCCAGAGGCTGATGAGATCATTTGTATCACCGCGTGCGGTTCAACCGTGCTTGCAACAATAAAGTCAGACAGCTCATGCCCGGCCCTTGTGAGAGTAGGCGAGCCGGAAGAAAGACTTGTGCTTGCAATTAAAGGCAGCATGGAGTGGGTGTACGGACTCGGCGCATGCGCACGCAAGCGCGTGCACTTCTATTCTTGATCAGCGATGATCTTGTGAAAAAGGGCCGTTGCATACGTTGCAGGCACATCGCAGGTCCGTATATGTTATAAAGCTAGCTATTTGTCTGCCATTGCTGACTGCAGTCAGCCACTCGCTGCTCGTGATCCGTGCAGCACGTCGTGTGCATACCACAGATGTTGAAAGCTAGCCCTTCCAATGCAGTAGTCATTGTTCGAATGCTTGCCTTGAATATTCACAGCAGTTCTTCCAGCTTCGACTTGAGGTGCCCGTGCAAGGTCAGCCACAGCTTCGTGGTCTTCGCGTGATCCGCCTCAACCACTGAGTGTAGCCACCAGCACAAGTGCTTCAGAAAACCAGTGCGGGCTTGCATGTTTGCTTGCCTAGCGAGGTCAGAATGCAACGCAAGGGGCCGAAAGCAAAGGCCGGAAACACCGAACTAAGCCTCCTGATCCAACATGTTGATTCCAACAACGATTGCAGGTTTTTGTCTTTCTTTCAGTTTCTCAAAGTATGCTCATACGTACATGTAGAAGCAGAGAATTCGAGTGAACAATTGGGCATTTGAGAGATAAAACGCAGAAGGAAAACACGTACAGAGCAGTAAGCGGTAAGTTATTGATGAAGTACGCATAAGTTCACACAGGAAAGTAGGAAAGAAGGCAAGTAAGGGTTGTGAAGGTTCCAGGTGGCTGTGTGCCCTTCCAGCAACGCACCGCCTGTACAGTACCGCAGCCGGATTCTTGCTTCAAGTATCATCTAGTTCAATTGATGTCCAACGAGACCCTAGGCCCTAGGTATGCTAGACATGAGCGAACTGCTGTCGAACCATTTGCTGGAGCATCAGTATCTCGGTCTTTCTGTCTGTTTTGCTGCCTTGCTTTTGCTGCAGCTGTTGATGCGAGGCAGCTACCAAGACGGTCGCGAAATGGGCTCAGGCAAGCTCGGCAGTGTTGCTCTTGCGGAAAGCACTACAGTTCCGAAGTGACATGCTTCCTCTTTGGAGATTCTTCGGCGATGCTTGACCTTTGCCAGTTTACTGCTTCGTCCTATTGCAGGGGTGTATAACGAGCTTGTTAAGATTTTGAGACGGGCGAAAAACGCTGAGCTACTAGTCGTCTTGATTCTGCCGCCAGCCTAGACCTTCCGCGTGTCGCGTGCTGTGCATCATCTTCTTCATGGTGCTGCTGGCTGCAGGCGTGGGATCGCAGCAGGATTTGGAGTGTGAGCCTGGCGCCCAGAAGTGGGCCTTGACTCATCAGAAACGCACAGTTGCGTTGCTGACCGAGGTGGGAGCAAAAGCTTCAAGAAGGCATTGCTTGGTCATTGGTCGCAGGCTTACGAGAATGGACCAGGCAGGCAAGACAGTGCGGAAATCCGCATGCACTCAAGACAAAAGTTCATGCATTTACAAGAATGCCGTTGCTCTGGGCTCAGATGTAGATTGCCTGACGGGGCCTCGATCTACATGCAAGGCTGTCGTTGAGTAGTCGAGGGGAGTGTGGGGTCGCTGATTCGGATTCATCTAATCCCGCGACTGTTGCCAGCAAAAGGGCTGCGAGTCCTCTCGCTAGCCCATGCATAGTCGAAGTCGTGACCCAGTTTCAAGAAAAGGTTTCCACGTCCATGAAGCACAAGATGCCAAGTCAGTTGCCAGGCTCCTTGTCATGGATGATGACCAAAATGAAGGCAGTCTTGGGAGCTATGTCTCAGAGGCAGAGGAGGCCCGCTGGCCGGTGTTGCGCAGATTGTACTCGCTGCCAGGGCACCCTCAAGAAAGTAGGCCCAGATTCGACATGTGCTAAGGCCTCTGAGACTGAGCATGATGCGTCAGAACCATTATCCAATCTATGCATGCTGCGCGTGTTTCGATGCCGAGCCACTCAGCAATTGAAACTTGTGCGGGTGACAGAAGGCTCAGCACCTGCCTCTTTTGCCCACGTGTACTGCAGCGTATCCTGTCAAGCGGATCCAAGCAAGCAAACCAAGTGGCTTCGAGGTCACTAGCAGTACATACATGTGCCGACTGCATAAGTCGGGACGCCCTACGAGACTCATGGACTCGTGGCCAATGGTCGAAGTCGACCGGACGGCGCACGAAGCCATCCTCGACGCTGACAAAGCAGCTAAGCAGTCCGAAGCGGGGCTTAAATCCCAGAAAGGCCAAGGCGGTACAAGAGGAAAGGGAACAACCAGAACAACCTAACACTGCCGGTCACCGCTCCATGGCCGCTGGCCGTGTTCGCAGGGTGCAATCCGTACATAACCACGGCCGGGACGATGTAGAGAAGTTGTTGCTAGGAGATGTCTTTCTCAAGGAGCCTAAACCGCAAAGCCGAGAGAGAGAGAGAGAGAGAGTCCGGCAACAGATCAAGCAAACTCGGAACTACGACTGAGGGACGACTGAGGGAGGGAACGTCAAGATGTGCCAGGCTGCAGTCGTAACGTGACGTTCAAGTCAAGCATGGTTCTCATGTGCTTGCGGCGGAGTCGCTCGCAAGTGTAGTAAATGTAGCTACACGACATTATGAAGTTGCATGGCTGCGTTCCGTTTGTTCGGTCGAACGACAGTTTGATCAGCAACAATGGACCGATTATGATCGATTAGTATTTGGAGGCTGAACGTGCAGAGGAAGTTGCAAATTTCGACGATGAGGCGTGTCCAGTGCACCTGCCCAGCATGTCAACTTCCACTACAAGCATCAGCAAGCATCAAGCATGTGCAGGACCAATGGGACGCCGATGTGCGCATGGAGCGAACCGAGCGAATAGACTTGGAAGACTCGCCCAGGGCTGTCGTCGAAGAAGATGTGACTTGGCTTCAGCATGTGGCCGAGCTTGTTTCGGTTTGGAGTCATGCTGCTTCATGCATTGCGTGAGAGCAGTGGGGCTTCCGTGCATAATCGTGCTCCACAGCCGTCTGCTTGCAGCACTTGGGGATGCGCGTGGTTGCTTCGCTCGTTTTGCAGACATGGGGCAACCATGCTATACTATACTTGCAGGTTCTAACTTTTGAGCTCTGAACCGGATGCATTCTGATTGCTGCAGGTTTTCGGGGACGGCTACTACGAAGACGAAATAACAGATCCGACGTGTCTGGAGGTGGGGGCTGCTTCGGTAGATCCTTGTTTCACAGCTGTGCGAGCTGCCTTGACCTGTGCCCTACTTCGCCAAGGTGATCACAGACACCTTTGAAGAACTGCGATTGCCACCAGAACAAATTGCCAAAGTGCAGGCTTCGCGGTGCTGGCAAGCACAACTGCAACGGACTGTTGCTTTCTTGGCTTCAAGCAGAAACCTCCCCAGTACGGGCCACACCACGATCCAGCATGAAGCGCCTCTGATGTCATGCGTCTCGTCGATTGCGATGTAAACCATATGGCCCACATTCGGATGGCACACGTGGCAGATTAGCAATCCCATACATGCCCATACCGTAGCCTCCACACACGTCCGACCTGGTGCAGGGTGGATTCGCCCAGCTGGTGCAGAATGCGGGCTCGCCGGAAGCAGCAGGCGAAGCTGTCTACTCCACGCTCTTCGAGGCAGAGCTGTTCTCAGTAGTCCCGGGCTTCGGACGGACCCAGGATACCCAGGGTGCCGTGTGTTGAGGCCGCTCCGAGCCTACAGTCGCTGTGGACAACACCCAGGGCTGTCTCGACCTCACATGGGGCGCCAGTGCCTGTTTTTCATTGCCATGGATAGTCGCACGAATTCCGCGCTTCATGTTTCCTTAGGTTCAAGGGATGAAGTTCGCCAACAGCCTTGCTCTCCTCATCTCGAAACTTTCGTACCCGGAGGAGTTCAAGAACCTGGTGGACACTCTGGGGTTCCAGCATTTGACAACAGAGGTCACGGTCCCACGTATTGAGGTCTTCCGAGATGCCCTTGTAGAGTTATTTGCTGCGGACCTGGGCGACCTTTTCACAATGGATGTTCGGATCGCGCTGTGCCGAATGTTCAACTACATCGGTGGGGCCTTCATCTATATCCGCAGCAACTACTCGTCCCGCTTGAAACTGATATCGCAGTGTTGGACTTTGGCCAACAGCCAAAGGAATGAAATGGACGAAGAACCAGAAGAGACCCAAGAGTCCTCCGAGCACAATCTGGAGAACAAAGAGGAGGAAGATGGAAAGAAAGGCCCTGTGTCATTGTGTGTCGGGCTGTCATAGCTAAGCCCAACAAGGCCACGTGTTCCTGAAGTTGCATTTGCTTACCACCGTTATGTGTTGCTCAAGCACGGTGTTAGTTGTAATGCTACTGTCTCAGCTCATGAGCGGCTGTACGCACAGTGGCTTGTGACCTTGTGTCACCCGAATTCAAGCCTCGTGCAGCGACCGTGGCTCCGCGCATTCTTGTTGCAGATGGGAGTGTGCGTGGCGAAGCAAGCCACCACAAAAGATGGCCAGAGTCCACAGGGCAACGAGTCAAATGTGTCAAGAAAGACTTCCACCGACAACTTGACGATTTCCTTGGACAGGGCCAAAGCTATGTCCTTCAATGCCGCAAGCACTCATGCACGCTACCACAGCGCTGGTTCAGGTGGCCGCCAACTTGAGGATGACTACGAGATCTTTCCAAAGCGGGTGCTCGGTGAGGGCTGCAGTGGACTAGTCATCATGGCAAAAGGCCGCAATGATGGGCGCAAGTATGCGCTGAAGCGGATTCACAAGTTGAAAGTTCAACCGAAGGTGCTGAAGCAATTGACTGCAGAAGTGGAGATTTATCTCATGCTCGATCATCCGCACATTGCGGCACTCAGGGACGTGTATGAGACGGAAGCTGAGATCGCACTGCTGACTGAGTGCTGCGAAGGGGGCGAGCTCTACTCTCGGCTGTCCAACTCCGGCACCTATGCAGAATCCGATGCAGCAGGGGCCACGCATCAAATGCTGCTTGCTGTAGGCTACCTCCATGCGCATCATGTAGTGCACAGAGACCTGAAGCTCGAAAACTTCCTGTACGAAACTCAAGAAGCGAACTCCGCGCTCAAGTTGATCGACTTCGGCTTTGCCAAGATTTGGGACCCTTCAACCTTGATGTTGGCATCCTGTGGTAGCATTGCGTATGTCAGCCCGGATGTCTTGAAAGGAGAGGGCTACACGAGCAAGTGTGATTTATGGAGTCTGGGCGTGATCGTTTTCATGCTGCTTCCTGCATGCAACAGGCTCGAACATGTTTTTGTTGTATGTTTTTTTGCTGTGTTCATGTTCAGCGGTCAGAACATGTCGGAACTGCTGAGGCTTGTTGGCTACCCACCTTTTCATGGTAGCGAGAAGGACATGCGCACAAATATATTGGCTGCAAGTGTCGATTGGAGCCATAAGAGCAGATGGCGCAAAGTGTCCGAGGATGCGGTTGATTTTGTCAAATGTCTCTTAGTAAAAGACCCAGTTCAGAGAATGGATGTGGGACGGGCTCTCGAGCACAAGTGGCTGAAGCCTAAAAATCTCAAGGAACCACATCCGGTCCTGGACCGGGACTCCCTCAGAGCGCTTCGGCGCTATGCAGACACCTCCAGAGTGCGTCGTGCTGTTCTGCAACTTCTGGCACAAGAACTCGCCCCGGATGAAACAAAGGATCTCCGGGACGTATTCCTAAGCCTAGACAAAACAGGAGAAGGCACGATCTCTCTTGGTGAGCTAAAGCAGGCGATCCGTGGAGAGGCTGTTCCCGAGCTGCCCGAAGCCACGCCCGAAGCGCCTGGAAGTTCATCTCCTAAGTCTCCCAAAACCCCGGCAGCTCGACTCCGACGGGCGAAGTCAGAAGTGATAGGGAGCCTCTTTGATGTTCTCGATGCCAACGGTGACGAGCAGGTGTACTACTCAGATTTCCTTGCGGCAACCATGGATGTGCGGAAGCAGCTGCGGCAGGAAGCCGTGTTGTCGGCTTTCAACCGTCTTGATGCAGATGGTTCTGGGACGATCAGTCCAGATGATTTGCGGAAAGTCATCGGTGAAACTTTTGAGGGTGTCAATGTGGAGCTTCTTGTTCGTGAAGCTGATGCAACCTGTCGGGGTGAGCTGACTTTTCAGGACTTTTTGAGTTTGCTTGAAGCAACTGATGCCTCAGTGTCTCCGACTGGACGGCAGCGGGCCGGCATTCAGCCATCCTTCTACTTACAGCCTCATGTGGTGCCATGAGGGTCGGGGCGCGAGATGCGCCTTGAGTTCACGGCACGTTTTCACTTTGAATTCGCCCGAACGGGCCGGATTGAAAACTGCTAGGCAGTGTGCGACTTAGCACCTTGCCGAGTCGAGTGAGATGAAGCGGCTGTGCGTAAACGGATGGTCGATGCGCGCCGTATTGCGTGGCGAGCTTGTCCCGCCCTTATACAGTACTATTAACATTCGGCCAAGTCTTGAGCTAAGAGTTGGGAGAGCTGGAGCCAGGCAAGTCCAACCTTCTGACAGTCAAGAAAGCAGCACGGGAAGAGACCTCCCAGGACTTCCTCAGCTGCGTCTTGTAATTGTGCTTGCTATATCCCAGTTGCATGCCTTTTCGTGTCTCACTGCTCGCTGCTAGGGCTAGGACCTTGCTTTATGTTCAGTGAAAACGGGATCAAACCACCCAGTGCGTGCTGTGCGAAGGAAGTTTCTATGGAAGAAGGGCATGGCAAGAAGTCATCCGCCCGCCAAAGCGTCCCAGCTCAGATTTTTCACCTCTGGGCTGTGGCTTGATGGAAGCCACCAACATATGCGGAGTGTGAACTTGCTGCTATCTGTATGCCCAGGCTTGACCAGCAACAAGGTTCCGACAACCTTTCCTGCTACTTGCAACTGAACCGGTCTGACGGAATATGTCGTGACATGCGCATTTGCTTGGCATGGATCCTTCCAGCTGCGATTCTACTAGCCACATGCTTCCAGACATGCAATATCAAAGTAGAGCAACGGCGAGCTTTTGTAACTGAGCCCAGGAGATGTTCAAGTTCAACGCGTCTGTCATGGGGTACAAACAACATGAGTGGATGGGTGAGGTCTTGCAGGTGTTTGATAACATGGTGGTGAACTGCGGAGACTTTTGCTTGCAAGTGGCCAGCCTTGCATGTCACAGCGAGCCGATAGCGGCCTGGGTCAGTTCCTTCTCGCGGGAGCATGCTCCAGCCAAAGCAAAGGTTCCATCCCGCCTGCTGGAAGAAGCCGACATCCTTTCGCTATCTCTGGCTAAACTACATGGTAAAATCGATCTGCTCGAGTTCAAGGCGGTTCCCAAGATGCGCTCCAGAAACTGCCTTTCAATTGCCTGTTTTTCTACGTAGCCTGGACGCTGCCGTGCGCTTAGGCACATGTTGCAAGTTCTGGTGACATTCGAGGCGGTGGTTCTGGTGGTGGTTGTGGTCGTCGTCGTCGTCATCGT